CATTAAGGATGTTAATGTACGAGCAGCCCAACATTCACTAGTGAGACTTCTATTAAAAAAAATCAGAAATACAGAACTTTACTACAGCTGAAGAGCATTTACAGCAGCTCTGCAGAAGGCAGAGTGTTGCTACAAAGATGTAGCTTTCAAAACTGAAAAGGTAAGAGCAATCAGATGAAAACTGGGTAAAACCAGTGTTGCACAGAAAGCCAGTACTGCCTCACAGTCCAACCCAAATCAAAATAAAGTGGCAACCATTCAACCATACATCAGCAGTTAAATGCTTTTTATTCATAAAGCATAGGATTTTGTATGCTTACTTGTGAAAGTTACGCTGGTATAATCCAGCATGTAATTACTTTTGTGTTGGCTATATGAAGCCAAGTTCCAGCTCCTTCAGTCTGCAGTTAATTACAGTGAGGTTTCAGTGCAACACCTTGTGCCTTAAATATAGGTTCAGCTGCACTGAGCTATTTTCAATACCATTAGCACCAGTAATTCAGCAAATAAAGCTCAATCACATAAAGGGTTATTTCTGGAGTACAGTAAGCACAATTAACTGTAGTTGATTTTCTAGCCCGTTAGAGAAGGCAAGAAAATAGCCTTACTTGAATGACATTTGCCAAATTTTTTTTGCAAATCCTACTTCCCTCCCAAAGTAAAGCAGAAAATAAGTTTGGGACTGCAGTTCCAGTTTGCAGTAAGAACCCACATACTCTCAACTCAGTGCCTCAGAAGCAGTTTGGCCTCCTCCAGCTATGAGGCAAGAGGTACTACTGAAGTACCCCATGGCTGCAGCAGCTCTGCTTCCCATTCTGCAGCTGACAATGCTGGCACACACAGCCTTGTGTGGGCAACATGTATCCCGCAGAGCACTTCCATCCTGCTTTCCTTAAGACTTAGAGAAAGGGCCATCGCTAATGCCGAAAGCCGAACAAATGGAACTCCACAACCCACTGAAATACAGCTACAGTCACACAGCCTGTTTTGAGTGAGCTTCCGCAGTGCTTCAGTTTGACTGGACCCAGAAATGTTTCTTGAACATAGCTGCCCAGGCAACAGATATAAACATCCCAGTGTCACTTACTGCTTTTTGGAGTCAGCTCATGACTTCCAATACTTTGTTTGTATTTCACTGGACCCTATGGTCTATTTATAAATTGTTTATCATACAGTTGCTAGAAGTCAGCAAGTTTACTTCTGTTTTTTGTAAAGCAGTACAATTTAGTTCAATGAAAGCACATGTACAAAATTTGTTCTTTTCACCACTTTCTACAGCATTTTTAGGCTACAGATGGAAGTGTTACATTTGTGCTTAAAAATTCACCAGCACAAAATGTAATCTCTGGAATTCACAAGAATTGTCCTCAATGCATCATGCCCAGTAGCATCCTGAAACTAAGTACCCACAGGCTGTGCAGCTTGCCTTCAGTCTATGTTCCCTTGGGCCATACCAGATGCGTTCAGCTTTCACTTTCAGAGTATTTGACAGCAAGCTCCTTTTCTGTTCTCCAGCTTCCAGAATAATAAATAGGTTGGTATAATTTCTTTGGACTCTGCCCCTTCAAATGAAGGGCTTGTTGGAAATGTGTGATTTACTCAGCATGCTCATTTGCTGCTCTTCCAATTAAGAAAGGGACACAATTAAATAGACACTTCAGGTTTTCAAAAAGGACTAAAATGTAAAGCAGGTTAGATGTGCCTCCAGCAATGTGTTACCTCAGAGAAATGGCCAAGAAGCCACTGGAAAATAAGTCATATCAATGCAATTATGTAGTTTGACATTCAGATTTTATTTTAAATACCATCACCAGTTACGGGGTGTTGTTTTCTTGTTTGTTTTCTGTTTTGTTCCCTGTTCCTATATCATCTCCCACAAACATCACTCTTAAAGGATAAGACAGAACCCTTTATCCCCCACACAAGGCCCCAGGTACAATCACATACCTCAAGCTCTTTCACATGCCTCACACAAGAGCTAGCATAAAACAAAACCTGCGCATACCAAGCAGCACATTGCTTTTGGTATATGTTTCTGATGTCCAAAGTCATAAAAAGGCCAGGAAGCCTACATTGCCACAGGACCATTATGACCAACACATTTCAAGACAAGAATAAAGCACAAAACCAGAAGTGTAGAGCTCTTTAGTCCTTCCCTAAGGGCACGTGATCTCCCATATCAAAGCAGAAGTGCCACCAAAAGGTCACTGTTCCAGTAGGACTCGTAGGACAGGAGGCACTGTGTGTCACAGGCATGCGGCAAGGACAAGCCAAGGGCCACTGGGAGGCCAAGCTGTACTCACCTCGCTGTCACAGCTACCCAGCTTGAGCAGCATGGAGCTAAAACAGGCAGAGAACAGGCTCCAAAAGCGATGAACTCTTTCTTCCCACCACTGCCGGATTCAAACATTTTATTCATCCCTATTCTGAAGTTATAACTGGGCTGAAGTTACACTGAACTAAGCTAAAATTTGAACGTGCTACATTTACCCTGAAGGAATACACATGTGCTCATTTCTGTGGGTTTTCAGATCTATAATCATCTACAGCTTTAGCCAGCAAATCTGAGAAAAGTCTTTTTAAGATCTACTGCCCTCAGAAAGTCTATTTAGTAGTACAAAAACTAAAAGCTGCAATTTGCACTACATATCCTATTAGACAGGAACCACCCCTAAATTAAATATAGTGGGACTACAGCCCCAGCAATACAAGGTGTTTCCCTATAACCGCACTGATTAAACAGTTGCGGACACCACACTTCCAAGTCCTTTTTAGCAGACGTCACACACTGCACAACATAAAGCAGCAGGCAATTGGCCAAAAATGGTTAGCAAAAAGGATTCCTTAAACCTCCAGTATCCAAATATAGCTCTAGCTGGTCACATGGGCTGCCATACAGTAAGTGCTCCTCACTTTACCTACCCTCTGATTAAACAGTTTGAGCTAAAAAACATGTACTTAGAATAGCATTTCAGCTTCCAACTCAATTCCATGAACTGTATAATCTAGCTGTACCTTCCACGTTCAGACGGGCAGGAAAGAAAAGTTAGTTTAGGTTTCCAGTGAGCCTAAAGGGGATGATTAGCTACAGAGAGCTAACAGAATATGTACCCCCTAACGTTTATATATATACACAGACAAGCACACACACATATGTGTGTATATATACACACACACACACACATATAAAGCAGCATAACTAACTTCCCACAGAATGCAGCCACCGTGAAAGGAGCCTCACTCACTAATTCTACTGTACATAATGATTAATATTTTAGAAATGGTGGTACCTACTCCACCCATTCTTCAGCAATTCCTGCCTTTCCTATTACTCTATGTTCAAAGCTGACCAGCTGAGGATGCCCACCATCTCAAAGATCCACAATTGTATTTCTCTATTAAAGAACCACACAAAGTTTCTGAAGAGAAAAGGGCCGCTCCTGTACTGCTGCCAAGCTTCAACTTAATTGAGGTGGAATTTAGTCAAGCTAGGCCTTTCCCAGCCCTTAAAGCCTATGTCCATGTAACACAGGTGACAAGTTTCTAGTACAGAACGCTGGAACTGTATCAATAAGCACCGGTTCCATTGGCCCTTCCAAAGCACTCCCTCCCTATGGGCTGAGGACCAAGCACTGTAGCACTGGCTCATGGCACATCACACAACTTCTGAAGAAGCAGAGGCTCAGATTCAGGTAACTATTACTTGACAGCAGCTGGGGGCTTGCAAGGTCCGTAAAGAGGAAAGAAAGCTCAGTGCCACCAGGCCACACCAAAGCATTCAAACAGCAAACTTACACACAAGTTACAATAGAACGAGATGTCACAGCTTCTTTGCTGTAAGTATGAAGTTTTCCTCCAGCCCCAGCCCTCAGTTCATCTACAGTTGTCACACACACAACAAAGCACAACCAGGAGCCGTGCCCGGCAGGTTAGCACACCCACCAACCGGCTCGGTTCCACCGGCAGCACCACGTTCGGTGTCACGTTCAAGCCCGCGCTCAGGTCGGGCGCCGACCGCACGCCGGTACCCTGCAGAGCCCCAGACGTCGCGCTATTTCGACCCCCGACACCGCCGGCAGCAGGGCGCGGGAGGCCCCGTGGCAGCAGCGGCACAGCTTTCATCGGAGCGCGGGGCCGGGCGCGGGCAGGGCGCTCCCCGGGCCTGCCACGGCGGAGCAGTGACGTGTCCACCTGAGCGAGCCGCTCCGCCGCCGCAGCCCCCGGAGACAAAGTTCTGTAGTGCACTGACTGCTATCGTAACCAGAGTCTGAGTGTCACAGAACTTTGCTTCAGGAGACCGGATCCTCCTCGGGCGCGGGCAGCGGGGCTCCCGTCCTGCAAAAGGAAGAGGGCACGGTTAGGGAAGCGCAGGAACCCCTCCGCTAACGGAGGAGCGCGGCGGAAAGCGCGGCGCGGAGCGGCGGCGCTGCCCGCGGCCCCAACCCCGCGGCGGCGGCCGGCTCCGGCTGACAGCGCGCGGCCGCCGCCCCTCAGCCCCCGCCGCCCCCGGCCGCGCCGCCGGCCCCGGCCCCTCGCGCCGCGCGGGAGCGGCGCCCCCCTCCGCCGCAGCGCAGCGCTCCGCCGCACCGCCGCGCGCAACAGGTCCGCCCCGCGCCGCCGGCGCCCCCCGCCGCCCGCCTCGGCGCGGCCTCGCGTCCCGTCCGGCCACGACGGCTCCGTCCGCGCGCCCCGCGCCGCCCCGCTCCATCTTGACTTTTGCCGACGTGGAAATTTTGGGTTTGGGGACGAGCCGCGCTCTTATTGGCCAGCGGCGGGAGGGGTCGGAGGTCACGGCTGCTGTCGCCGCTCCGCGCCAAGGCGCCTCGCTCGGAGGCCACGCCCCCCTCGCTGGCCACGCCCCCCGCCCCCCCGCGGGCGGGGCCGCGCCGCCGGCAGTTGCGGCCGTTGAGCGGCGGGGGGAGGGAGCGCCGACGGGAGGGGAGGGCGGGCGGTGCCGAGGGAGGGGCTGCGCGCCGGGGCTGCCGCCGGCCCCTGCTCGGCCTCGGGGCGGCGGGGGGCCGGGCGCCGCGTGCCGGTGGCTTCCGAGCGCTGTGCCCGCGGCCCCGTGCCGTAACTCGGGGAAACTTGGCGCATCCTGCCCGGCTCCGTGCCGAGCGCCGTCCTGCTGCGCGGCGCTGCGGCCGAGGGGCTGAGCCCCGGCGGCGGCCGTGTGGCTGTGGAGCGCGCGTGCGAGAGAGCCACGGGTGTTTCTGGTGCCCGCCCCGAGCTAGCAGGATCCCGAGAGGAGTGTAACGCTTCACTTGCGGGCATGTTCCCTCACCCCGGCGTGCCTGACACGCAGACTCAGGTGCATCAGTTTCCTGAAGTGAGTTTCACACTCCTGAGTTGGTTCTCTTGTTTTTTGGAGATTTGGCTGCTTCTGCATGCTGGCTCTCCAGCCTTCCGTGGCCATTAAAAGCACGGATTCCAAAGTGCACTTTAGCACAAAACAGCCTGAATTATTATAGAGTACGTACGCATTTAGAGGTGACAATTCCTACCATCGTTTTCTCTCGTACGTGGAATTAAGGCGACCAGACCCAAGCCCTGCCGCTGCCCATGGCTGCTCCTCAGCCAGCAGCCCAGCGACCCACCGTGCTGGGGTGGCTGCTGGTCAGGCCCAGGTGTGGCCTGAATGAAATCCTGGGCGAGCAGTGGCAGCCTGCCCCAGAGCGGGATGCCCAAGCAGGAGGGGCCCACCCTCCTCGCCGCAGGATCCCTGCTAAGCCAAGCTTAGTGCTGGCATCTCAGAATCTGGAAGGGAAATAATCTGAAAAAACATTTTAAAATGTGTTCTTTTTAGTTTATATCCGGAAAAAATTAAAGCATAGTGTGAGGGGACGAATAATCTCAGAAGAATCTCTTACCTTTATATACTTTAATTTTGTCTCCTTCTTTTTAGCTCCTTTGTCTGCAGAACCAGAAATTGCAGGTCTTGGGCGAGCCTTTCTGCTGTGTCTATGAAGCATGTTCCTGCCTTCCTGCCTGTGCCTTCTCTGCGCCGCTCGTGCCTCAGCCCTATCCCATCCCGCTCCATTTTGCCATGGATGGATTGTTTCCTGTCTTCCCATTCCTGCTCTATCCCTGGCCCCTCAGCGTGCTCCCCTGTGCTAGGCCGCAGAGTTGGCCTTGGCTACGCTGTTGCCACCGCCGCATGTATGGGAATATTGATTTTACAGTGTGTGTGCTCTGTAAAAAATCAATATTTCAGTAGATTGAGCAGAGCATGCGGCAGTGTAATGGAGCCCAGCCTGCTAATGTAACATGCAGGGGTCCTCATTCAGAGATTGAGGTCAGTCAGAAAATGGAAATGTGTTTTCTTGTTTTATTGTCTGTTTCAGATTTAATGTAGGTGTTTATGTTCTTGTGTTTAACCTATAGCGAGCATAGAGTTGCTTTAAAGTCACATCCAACAGAATGTCACGCATTTCATGCGACATGCATAAAGACATGCCTCAGATGGACAGCCCATTTTTAGAGCTTAGTAATCCCCCTCTCCCCCTTCCCCACCATGTGTCTGTTAAACAACAGTTGAGAGGAGAAATTAGTCATTTTTGTTTCTCCAAATAAAAAATAGTTTTCTGTCATTTGATGCAAACTTGTGTTCTGAGAACATAATTAACCATTTGCAGTGCTTTTATTGAGTCCTGGTATAACAGCATGTATCAAACAGCTCTGTAACTGGGGACGAGTGAAAACAACGAGGGAGGGAGGAGAAATAGCAAACGTACAACACAAAACCAGAGTAGCAACCACAACTGATTTTCATGGAGTTGGGATTTTAGGCAGAGTGTTCCCTATGATACATTATCTGCTTTTTAAATCATTGCATCATTCCTTAAAATGTAGCAAAAGCATTTCTTGAAATGACATATGAAACCACTGCATTCCCTGGTGCGGAGTCAAGATGAGTGTGAGCTGGCTGTGGTTTCACATCGTCAGGGAGGCTTGGTACAGCTCTATCATTCCTTAATCATTTTATCTTCTGCCTTTGTCAGCGGCTATTTCTCACCTACCACATCCTCCCCCTGCAGCAGTGAATACAGACCTGCACAATGTGCACAGGCGTGAGTGTTGTTTGTCTTTGTGCCGAATGTCACAAAGAATCAGAGATGCGGTGGGGCCCACATGTAAAAAGGCAAAGGTGTTTATTGTCCATCAATGACAGGCAGCCCTGGCTGGGGAGGTTTGCAGGACTGGAGCTGTAGCATCAGCTTCCAGTTACAACTCTGGTTTAAGACATGGCTGATGTAAATGGTTTCCAAATGTAAAATACTGTTACCCACAGATGCTTACTGCATGGGAATTTCTTAAGTGTCAGTTGATTTTCTTCAGTCACTGGCCCATATTTCTAATTCGTTTATATATCTCACTGTTATGAACAAGTATTCATTGTTTTCAAGCATGGAGATTTTTTTTCCCTTACAGAAAACCACTAATTTCAACATTTTATTTTCAGTCATCATTAAGAAATCAAATGCAATAGGAATGGTAGTAATACTATAGTATTACCAGTTGTTGGGAACCTATGCACTTACCACTGTCAGGAGAAGTAGTAAAATCCTAATGTATTTCAGGAATACATTAAAAACAGTGGTGTAAAAACATAGGAAGAACAATATATTGAAATACTATACTTTGACTTAATTTTACAATATTTCCACATGTAAGTATGATAAACTTATTGTTCCAAGGCAAAATTTATGTCTGAAGATTAAGAACTAATACTTAGGGCTGAATTTTACCTTAAGAATCCATCTGCTTTGGCAGCATCTTTCTGACCAAGAAGACTCAGGAAGGTGGGTGTTGCACAAGTCAGGTGGGGGCATGTGAGACAAAGAATCCAGCTGTGACTTTTTGTGAAGTAAGGAGGAACAATTTTTTTCCAGAATGTTAGCTTAAGCTTAAAAGGTGGTAGAGGTCTATGATACCATTTACTTTGATGAAGAAAAGATTCTGTTTTCCCGGAGTTCTCTGCCAGTTTTATGAAAGGGCAGTTTGTTTTTTTGTTTGTTTGCTTTTCATTTTAAAACAATTTGCGTATTATAAGAATTACTATCTAAATGTAGTTTGAAACCAGAGTTATGCGGGATGGAAAATTAATTATCTCATTAGCCAGAGAACTTTTATGGTATTCATGCCAACAAGTAAAGACATAGTCATAAACATCAATCAATATTACAGAACATTACAGAACAAAAGCAAACAATTTATATATACATAACAATTTATATATATATATAACAATTCAATATTATATATATATATATATATATATATATAAAACAATTTATAGTTTGTAACACTATTTATTGATAAAAGAAAAATGATACAAATGAAATTGGTGGCATATCATTGTAGTTCTTGGTTATTATCTGAGATTGTTTGCTCTTGATTAAATATGATTTGTGTTGCATCTAGGTAACTCTGTACTTCATTATTGTAACAAATGTGCATTAAAACAGCATAATAATATCCTAATTGTGAAATCACTATTAAGTAAATGGAGGTTAAGAGCAATGTCATGTAGTGTTTAACCAAAATGTTATTTCCTAGCGCTTACATTTCCTTGCATCGTAGAGTCATACAATTATTTGCTAAAGTGAGCAAATAATTATAGTGAAAGCAAGTCAGCGATAAAGTCAGAGAAAAGAAGCCAGGTTTCCTGAGTTCTCACTCTCTCTCTAAAAATAGAGTTGATATCTCTGTCTGTCATCATAGAGATGAGTGATTGATCTAAATGCAATTTTGGTAGCATCTGAACATCACGAAATAAAGCAAGATCCAGTATCACAGTCAAGATACAAGGGCATAGCATAGCATAGCATATTTTCAGTTAAGTCCAGCGGAAAATTTTCTCTTGACTTTAGTAAAAGCTTTATCAGTGCATAATGTGATGGTATCGAGTGCATGAGTCATTACATTAATTAGCTGCAAGTTTGCTCATAGCATCTCACAGTGTAGAGATTTGCAGCAGCAAACCCAAGTGTTTTCTACAAAACACAGAGATTCAGGTGTTACAGATCCCAACCAGAGCAACCCTGTCCTTTGCATTTTAGGAAGATACTAATGGATCTCCGAGGCTATCAGTGCTGGCTTAGTGTAAGAGTGTCTACGAAACATTAACGTTTTGGAAAACAATACAGGTTTCAAAATTTGGTTTTGTTCTAATTGAAATAAAATTTGGACCTTGCTGATAGAAGCAGGCTTAAAAACCAAAATCCAGCCAGAGCAGTCCCTCTTACCCCATCTGAAGCTCATGTGCCGTTGCATACTGGCCCAGAAAAACACTGCCACGCTGCATTGGAGGGACTCAAACCCCTCGGGAGTGCCCCGGCGCTGAGCAGCCATCTAGTTTGAAGAAAAGATGGGAAAGTTTGTTTTTCACTGTTTTTTTCCAGAAGTTCAATACTGAATCTGAGAAGCTTTACTGGAACAAATACTTTCCCACAAAACGGTTGCAGTTCTGCTAGTCAGCATTTTTGATACAAACAAATATATTGTGGGAAAATTCCCAACAAGCGTTACTTTGGAGTCTTTCAGAATAAAATCATGCAAAGGAGAACTATTGGAATGACATTTACAAAGGGATATGATCTGTATAGATTGCGAATAAAGTGACAGCAGTGTCAAGGACAAAGACTTGAAGGAATTTAACCTTTCCTTGTTAGGGCAGTAAAAGCCCCTGATATAAGAATCTCAGCCAGAGACAAACAAACAACCAAATTCTGTACAATTTACCACCAGCCATGACTTAATCAGTTTGTAACAACTTCAGTGTGGATTGTGCTCAAGTGTGTAGGCAGATCCTGGAGGAACAGGGCTGAGATTTAGCAGCCAATGGGTTCTGGACATAAAAGGCCCAGCTTTGTTGAATGATGTGTCCTAGGAATGGAAAGCAAGGGTCATACTGCTCAGGTTGGTGAGTGGCTGCTTATGTAAGTCATCTCACTGATTTCAAACCTGTCCCAAAAAGCCACTTAACAATCTTCTGGCCGCAACACTGTGAAAAGAAGGCAAATAAACAGGCTAAGATGTATTTGTGTTATAGTAAAATACTTCTCGCAGCAAGGGCTGGGGCAGTCACCAGTCACCTGTGTCTTCCATCTGCCCTGCACCAGCAGCTTGGGCTGAACCAGTTGCCTTCACAGTGAAGGGAGGAAGCGTTTTCATGGCCCATTCCTGCAGTGAAAGCTACTGAGTCTTATGCCATTGCTGCTGTTTCTGCAGCGGACGTCTACCTGTAGCCTCAGTATTTGATTGCAACTTTTTCTTCAGGCTAGAAAAATCTCCATTTATGACCTTCAAGAATGAGTGAAAGAATTCATGTGGCAGAACTTAATGAATAAGTGTCAGTAAGGCAACTGGCAACTGCAGACTGGCTGAGAGTGCAAAGAATATTAAAGAAAGTCACCCCCTCCTCCCTGCATGCACACTTTTCTCTGAACTTTTTTTAATGAAGAGTCAGAAATGCTGTCATTGGCTGATACTGGTCTTCTGTGGAAGTCTGAGGGAGCATCTTGCAGTGAGCATCTGGGGAAGAAGAACTCTCCTTACGTACTGAATAGCCAAAGAAGATGGAGGGTGGAGGAAAAATCAGGTAGGATGTTGGGGACAGCTTTTCTCATCCTCCTCCAAACCATACATTTGTGGGCATCAATGGATGTGATCAGGAATTAAAGGTAAATTTCCCTGGGAAGTCCCTTCTTTTTTAATTTATTTCCTTGCTTTTTAGGTTTTTGTAGGCATTTTGCCCCTACATGCACAAGCACAATTATTAATTGAAACTTACTAAGTAGCCAAAGCAATCAAATCATAGGTAGTAATTTATATTTATTATCATTTTTTTTTAAATAGTGGTTGATTTAGAAATAGCCAGTAAACACCTGCTTGATAAAAATCACAATTTCCTTACCACATTTACTTCATTTCTAGTCTCTGCATCAAAGCATGGATTGAGGGAAGAGATGGCTGTTCCTGTTCTAGCTCCCTCAGAGACTGTGTGGCTGTGCAACATCACTATTTCCCCAGGAAGGAGCCTGGGTTCTCCAGAAGGTTCACAGCTCCATGATCATATTGAAAACACCATCTCCTGCCTGAGACATGCCAGGCTGGTGAGGAGCCCCCCTGAAACAAGAATCTCTCCACCAGCCTTCAGAAGCCATCTCTATCTCCTCCAGAACACTGGGGCTTTTTGTAACAGCCTTGGAAGAGGAAGTACAATCTCTGCACCTCCTGGGAATTATTAAAAAATATGGTTCAAAAGTTTCCACTTCCAATATTTCCTTATTCAAAGGAAAGGATCTTCGTCCTGTCCAAACCTCAAAGAGATGAAACGAAGTTTTGGCACCTTAGGTTCAAAGCACTGATGGTCAGTTAGCCTTTCACTTCTGCTCAGGACTGATTTGTGGCTCTCACCTTTTGCAGGGCACAAATTAAAATCACCATCTGCTCTGTCCTCAGGGAGAATCTTCAGGCCAAACTGTTGCAACAACCCCCTGCTCCTGCCTTTCTGCACCACCAGGGAACATCAGTGAATGCCAAGCTTTTGCAACTGCAAACAAAAGAAAGTGGGTATTCATATCTGCCATGGCTTTGATAGTTGGTTGAACAGGGAAAAAACAATCTTACCAGGAAATCCTCACAAATCTGAACTACACATATCAGCCTTGTTTGCTTGCCAGTTCTTCTGATGAACCACAGGAAATCTATTCCAACCCCAGCACAGACTGTTCACAGGAGACAAGATAGGCTCATTAGCACTGGCACACACATGGAGTAGGCGCACACACACACACACACACACACACAACGCTCAGCCTTTGGATGGGAGAGCACAGAAGCTGTAAAATGGGCTTGCCTGACATTATTTGGTTCATGTATTTGTGTTTCTGTTGATACAGCTCTGGCTGTAGTTCCTTTGTGAATGCACCCATGACCTCAATTTGCAGGCTGTTGGAAAATCCCAAGATTGCATGCATGAGAAGCTTGGACAATGCATGTTCCCCTGCATGCAGCTCCACAAAGAATTGCATTTCTTCTATGCTGTAGGGCAAATAATTCTTTGGTAAGAATGCTAATTGATGTAGTGATCACTTATTGATAGAGTCATTTGCAATTGCTGCACAGCT